AAAAACAGGTGTGGGTGTAATTTCCCTTTTCAGTTAGCCCAAGTCAATAAAATGCTCATCCCTTGAAGCCCAAAACAAAGTTCGTAATTCCTACGCTACAATTACACACGTACATATGCGCAGGCAGGGGTCTATGGGCCCTAAAATCCGGGCTTGTGAAGCCTATAAAAGTCCAAATTTATGAGGATGACGTCACAACCCCTCGTTGGCGGCTCCAATATCAGGGTTTAGGTTCCCTCTCCATTTCTCAGTATACGGTTTGTGGTTGTTCATATTCATTACTTTCTCCCTCTAGGGTTTTAGGGGTTTCCTTCCCGCCAAAGAAAGGCTAAACTACCAATGGATAGATACCAGAAGGTGGAGAAGCCCAAGCCAGAATCTCCGATAAACGAAAATGAGATCCGTATCACTTCTCAAGGTCTGGTTCGTAACTACATCAGCTATGCCACCACACTTCTTCAGGTACCATTTTTTAAATCAATTTCGTTATTTATTTTTCTTCTGCGGTTGCATCGATGTGTTTGTTTTCATTGTTGAATTTGTGGGTTTTATAGGGTTTCGTTGCGGTTAGTGTGATGATAATGTGTGTGAATTGGTTTTATAGATTTGGGGGTTGTTTTTTATTTATATTTATTTTGCTCTTTAGATGCCTTTTTTTTATATATTTGCGTTGGATTTGTTTTTGATTTGCGAGAATACATATGGGCGCACACAAAGGCATGAAAAATTACGCTTAAGCACCCATTAAATTCACGATATCTATTGGTGTGTAATGTTTACATGTTCCATATGTGTAATGCATACCTATCATTGTAAAATTGTAATCATAGCTGTTATACTGATTCTTGAATAAGGTTATAATGTTCAGTTCTGAAGTTTGATCAGTTACGGTGTCATTCCTCATTATTAATTCATTTGATTGGTTCTTCATTTTTCTCTTTATGATTTCAGTTGTAATATCTGAAGTTTGATCAGTTACGGTGTGTCATTCCTCATTATTAATTCATTTGATTGGTTCTTCAATTTTTTCTTTATGATTTCAGTTGTAATATCTGAAGTCCACACAGTCCTCGTCATGGATCTTTGTAGTTTTGATTCACAGAGTTCCTTCTCTGTATTTCTACACGACTAATTAGCTTCTGTTGCCATTCTCTTGTATCTCGGGCAAATACTGTAATTCAGTTTTCATTATTTTGATCCTTTCCTTGCATTAGCTTGCAACTCCATCTCAGATGCAATTGCAAAACATTATACTCATTTTTGAATATTGAGTAACTTACCTGTAACTAGGTGTGTAGCAATTTTTTTTCCCGAGGCAGGGGGCAGAGTTGGGCTTCATGTGGAAATTTTTGTTGTCTTAATTGATTTTTTGAGTACTCAATCTATAAATTCACAAGTTAATCAAGGTAACTATATGGTTGATTGATCAAAACTGTCCAGATTCAAGTGTGTGCATAATATATATGATCAAATTAGGTGCATTCATATGTTGGTGAGAGTCTTCTTTTTTGTATTGATGCTGTTGTAATGGGTTCTGGTCTGATGGCCCTGGGGTGTGTAGTCATAATCAAACTTGGACTGTGTTGCTTGGAAACATCATACTAATTGTTAATTTCTTCCTGACAAAGAGACTAATGTAGTTAATCTTGTGAAAATCTAGGACAATCAAAGATAAAAATAATATGATGTTATTGAAAGATCATTTCGTAGATTTTACATCGTAACTCTTGGTATTTCTAAATTTTGGACATTACTCTAAATAGCAACCATAGATCAGAATTTCAGCAACTTTTATAGTAATTGTTAATTTCTTCCTGACAAAGAGACTAATGTTGTTGATACCCTATAGTAGGAGTCAATATAAACTTATATTTTAGGTTTATCCAAATAGAAATGGAAGAAAGAGGGAAGATCATTCTATTTAGTGGACTGTGTGTAGTTAATCTATCTATAATTGAGTGGCAGATCATGTGAAAACACTGATGGAGATATGATTAAAATGGAAACTGGGTCTGCTTTTCTATGCAAGGTTAGTTTAATCTGACTGTCCTGAGATGAGCCATCGGGTTAGTATATGCTAACTAAGTTCAGATTACGTGTCTTCTGTGGAGGATTGTTCGGTTTGGTGGGAATGACTTATGATTTTGTAATTCTCTCATTTGGTCAGAGTTGCAGCAGTTGCTTTATGTATAACTGGAATTAGGTCTCTGAACAGGTACAACTTGAAAATTATGTGGGTTTGATATGCTGAAGGGGGTATACTACATCTTTCCTGTTTACCAACACGTGATCTGTTTTTCCATGTCATTTAATTTGGCTGTATCTGCTGGACCTTGCAAATTATTTATTGTATCTCATTGTATACAAGAATATTTTTTGCTTCACTAACTTGATGGAATTTGCTCATTACTTCCCTGATAAAAGCTGGATTCTGGCTTCACAAGTTGACCTGTATTACATGAAGAAATAGATATACACTAATAATCCATGCTATGGGAAAGTACAAATTTCATTTGGTTTCGCACATTTGGTTTGTGCGAAACTGACGTAACAGTTTTTGTTTATCGAATAGCACTGAAGTAATTGATCAGAAAGACTTGGAAGGAGAGTTTCTTTATGAAGTCTTGATCAAGTTACCACATGCATTTAATTTGTTTAGCTGTTACTTAGCCATGCCAGATATAATTATAATAACAATCTCTTGTCTAGGAGAGACGTGGGAATGAGATTGTCTTGAAAGCAATGGGTCAGGCGATAAGCAAAACAGTAGCTATTGCAGAGATTATAAAGGTGTGTTGTGAATTGATTTCATTTTTTTCCTTTATGATTTTGTTGAAACTACCACATGAAAACCTCATTCTTTTATTTTTGCAACAGAGAAGAATTCCTCGACTGCATCAAGACACTGCCATAAGTTCAGTAAGAATAACTGATACATTTGAACCCATTGAAGAGGGCCTTCAGATGTAAGTTTTAAGTCTTCTGTTCATCGTACGCTTATCATAATGCACGCACGCTCATAAGTCCCCTGGTCTCCCATCTGATCTGCATTTAAATGCATCATGCCTATAACGTCTGATATTGATTTTAATGCCTACTACAGTGTGGAGCAGACTCGCCATGTTTCCATGATTTCAATCACCTTGTCAACTAAGGAGCTAAACAAGAATTCTCCAGGGTAGTTTTTGTTTATATGTTATTTTTTTCTTTATGAAGGACAAAGCCAAAAGTAGGAGAGAGAGGGAGTCAGGAAGGTTGATATGATAATGCCACAACATTTCTATCTGATGCAAGATGCCTACCCGGATGACAAGTTTTAAAATATTGAATTATCTTACTGAAGATGTTTGTTCTATGACTTACTATAATATTCTTTGTGCTTCTGTAGGTACCAAGCTCCAGCTCGTATGGGGCAAACTAAACAACAATATAATTATCAGCCGCAGCCACCGCAACAGCAACAGCAACAGCAACAGCAACAGCAACAGCAACAGCCACCGCGGCAACCGCAACAGCAACATATACAGCAACAGCAACCTCTTCCTAGACAAGCACGTGCAGTGTACAACAGTGGTAATGGAGGTAATGCCAAGAAAATCCACCTGAATTGATCATCATTGTTGAACTATTGCCATCCTCGGTAATTTATTGACTGCTAGTTTGATCTTTAGATGCATATGGACGTGGAAGGGGTCGTGGCAGAGGGAGGGGACGAGGTTGGAACAGAGGTGGATATGCAAACCATCAAGGTATTTCATTCCAGCTATATTAGTCATATGATCCAAGCAACCTAGTAATTGCATCTAGTACTTGTCTAACTTTTTGTATCATGTTTTTTTTTTTTTTTGTGGCAGAAAATGACGGATATGCAAACTATCAAGGTATTTTCATTCTGGCTGTAAAGTCATGTGATCCAAGTGACCGAGTAATTATGTATTTATTGCATTTTATTTGTCTAAATTTTTGACTCATGTTTCTTTGTGCAGGAAATGGTGGATATNGTTTCTTTGTGGCAGGAAATGGTGGATATGCAAATTATAAAGGTTACATACTAACTATAAAATTATATGATCCAAGCTACCAATTAATTATGTATTTATTATTGCATCCAATACTTGCTTAAATTTTTGTCATATTTCTTTGGCAGGAAATGGTGGATATGAAAATTATAAAGGTATCATTCTAAACTATAAAATCATATGATCCAGGCGACCAAGTGATTATGTATTTATTGCATCTAGTACTTGTCTAATCTTTTGTCTCATGTTTCTCTGTGGCAGAAAATGATGGATATGCAAACTATCAAGGTATTGCAATCTCATGAGATCCAAGCAACCAAGTAATAATGCATTATTGCATCTAGTGCATATCTAATCTTCTGGCTCTGTTTCTTTGTGGCAGAAAATGGTGGTGGGTATTCTAACTTGGGCCGAGGTGGAGGGCGTGGTGGTGGTTGGGGTTATCGTGGTTAGTATGTTCTTTACCTAATGACTTTGCAAACTGTGTTCAAGATTGGTTAATTACGAGGAATTGCATCCTTTGATTTAATCTCAGGTGCTGGATATGGTAGAGGCAGAGGCGGAGGTGGCCGAGGCTATGGCTATGGTCGTGGCCGTGGAAGGATGGGTGGCCGCTCAAGGGGTGGCAGGGGTGGCAACCAGGCATAGTTGGGACGGCAGTATTCTCTAAAAAATTGCTTGCTTTGGCTTTGGCTATTTGGGTCAGAAGTTTGTTTACATTTCAAGAAATTGTGCTTTGTTTACAAGGGTTGTTAAGCAGCAGTTGATGGTTGTTTTCAACATATATGATTAGTGTGGGCAAGCTATGTTTTAAATGTTTGCTTTTATTAAAGCCAATAGCAAGCAATTATGACTTCTGTGTTGATGATACGATGTGAATGAATAGGCAACTTAGCAGCATATACCGCGCCATAAGGCTACTCCCATCTGAATTATAAATTATTAAGCCTTGTTTGACTTGACCTTCATTCTATAAAAATTCATTTTTTCCAAGCTTGTTTTTAATCACATTTTTTTTAATAAAATAGTTTTATATGTAACTTTAAACTTTTTCTTACTTTTAGTTACATATTTTTCAACAAATTACCGTTACAAAACTTGTAACTTATCCCTTGTTTGACAATCATTATTTAAGAATTTTTTTTTAATTTTTTTTCTTTTTAATCATACATTTTCCTAAAAAATTACTGTTCAAAACATTAATTTGGTCAAATAATGACCATCAAACAAGGGTTTAATTTTTCAAGAAATATGTTTCAAACACACCCTATGTAAACGAATAGAATACAACTGCGTAATACTAGTATTTGAACTATATTGAGTCTTAATTATTTGATGCATATCATTATGGATTTTTCCACTTGTACAATCATTAGATGATTGTAAATTTTACAACCTCTCACATTAGTGTGGGACCCACAAATTAATTAATTTGTGGGTCCCACAAGATTGTACACCAAGCACATCTCTATCATTATGCCCCTATTTGATTCACATTTTTTCAAAATTCATTTTTTTAAAAATTCATTTTCGACCATACAAATTTTCAATAAAATAATATTTTTCATTACATTCAAAACTTTTCCTTATTTTTTTGAACGCATATTTTTCATCACATTACTATTTAAAATATATTTTTCCCCTCGATATTATGTATCACACACCCTATAGTGTACTAGTTAATTCCAAATTGCTAACACAGTTTTAGTACCTAATTATACGTAATCATTGTATCAACTAGTACAAAATCATTCAATCATTCAATATGAAATATTTTAATATTTATTCGGGGAACTGCTGCAGATGGTCCTTAGCCTATAGGATTAGAGTGCAAGTGGCCACTAACTTGGAAATCTTGACGCAGATATCCTTAACTTCACACTTAATGGGTTGTATTGGTCCTTTTGAATGTTTGACACTTTAAAAAGGCCAATTTTTTTTTAATAAAAATACTAAAATGTCCTCATTTTTAGTTAAATAAATAAGATATATTATCTCTAACTTCATGACAATATCAAATACACTTTCTCACGTTTAGATCCCGTTAACCTCTCTATTTATAGTTGCTGACATTTTTTAATCACTTTTTGAGCTATATATTATTTAAAATGAAGTTGATATATCTAGAATACCCTTATGAGGAAAAAAAAAAAAATATATGAAATTTCCTATCATTTGTAATTAATTTGCTCAAACTAAACTATAAGAACATAAATTGATATCTACATACAAAACTTCTTAAATTTTAGTTATATAAATTTATTTATTTTGTTTATAATTGGTATTTTTTTGAATATAAATTATATATAGAATTTAATTTAATAAAATAGTTATTTGTAAGTACAATTTATCAACTGATAAAAATGAATTTTATGATATTACTATGAAATATTGTAATGATTATTATATCAAGATTAACATGATTATTCTATTATAACATGATCATTGTTTAACAATAAACTTTGAAGGTTATTATGTTTTAATGAATTAATTTATACTATTTTTAGCTAATTTTTACTTAAATTATATAAGTAGATGTTGATATTTAACTTCTTACTTTAATTTATCAACTTATAAATATAAATCTTTATCGATAAATTTGCGTTATTTAATACATAATACATATAAATTAATTGAAAATTTAAATCATTTGTTATCAAAATTTTCAAAGAGATCGCGTGTTTGTTGAAGAATGAGCCGGCGTATCATACTCAAAACAATTTCTTTTTTCTTAAATTTTAGGTTTGAATTAGCATTTATATTTGAAATTGTGTACGCACAAAGTTTTTAAAAAATAATTTATTATTAAATGGAACAAATTAAAACTTTAGTGTTAAAACTTACATATTTTTCTGGAGAAGGGCATTTTCGATATATCAATAACATTCTATATATGAATTAAAAAATGGTCGGGTGGTGTATACGATACTCAAAACTAGATATAGAGAATGTTAGTGTGATTTTTGAAAGGTGGATAGTGCATCTAATATTGTCATAAATTTCATAGGGTTTCTGATGTTATTTCAATGGAAAAATAAAATAAGTGGAAAAGAAAATTTAAAATATGACAAAGAAAAGACACTTTATCCTATCAATCAATCTTTCATAAAAGCATCTCGAATGCAATTCCATTATTTAAAAATTGTGCTCCTTAAGCAAAATAGAAGGTATTTAAAAAATAACTCTCCAATACAAGTTGAAGAGGACTATTTCAAGACTCAAGATGATGTGATAGTGAAAGAAAAAAGATATTGGAAGGCTTTTAATCTACACAATAATGATGTCAATAACTAAACACAAGTTCTTTTATTTTCTTAAAATATTAACAAAATCTCATGTAAATCTACATGTGATATAAATTTTGTTGAGTTAGAATTAGGGATGGCAATGGGGTTAGTAGGGAGACAGAGGCGGTCATTACCATCTCTGTCCATCGGAGTTTTTCGTGGTGTGGGAAAATGGCGGGTGAGGATTAAAAAATCTCCATTTACGGTATCGTTGAATTAATATATTTTAAATACAATTTAAGTTTAAAAAAATATAGAAATAAAAAATAAAATAATTCTAGAGGAGTTTGAAGAATATGGGGTGGGGACCTGGGTCGGAACAATGAGACGTAGGGTAGGATCGAACAGCCTATGAAAAGATGCTTATAGAGACCCCCTCGACTCGCAACTGCATCATTCTAAAGGGATGCATCAATTTGGTCGTTAGTATGGGTGAGGAGCCTTCTTACCATCACCACTTTCATGGAATTCCTAGTGGTTGACTTCAGATCTACCTGCAATGGTGTCTTTGTGTTATATCTTATTGTTCAAAATCAAAGATTTAGAAGCGGGCCTCAAAAGGGTCAAATTGGTGGATGAAATGGGGGGAATACAAATAAGGGCAAAATGGCCTTGCGATCGCATGGATTGGACCTTCTGAAATTGAGGTTTTTTACCTTTTGTGATGTGATAGCATGGGATGTGCCCATGCGATCGCATGGGCATAGAAACTAGCCGTTATGGATAATTTTCTAATTTGATTTGGTGCCTTTTGGTAAATGGATTCCACCTTTTGATGAATGGTTGGAACAATTTCATGGTGTATCTCTTGAATACTATAAATAGAAGTTAGTATTCCATTCTCAATCATCAATTAACATCAATAAATTCATCCTTTGTTATTCCAAATCATCGAGAATCATATTCAAACACTTTAAAGTTTTCATGAAGTCTGTTTTGAAGAAACACTTGTGCTTTAATGTTCTTCATCCTAGGCTTGATATATCATATAAACTATTTGCCATTTGAATCTTTAAAAGCATTTGGAGAGGAGACAAGTATCGTTTGAGAATAACGTTCATCATGTGTTCAAGTCTTGCAAAATTCATTCCATTTTGTGTTTCCATCTTCATTCTCTTTCTCTCCCCATTGTTGTTATTTCTAACAATCTCAAACTATATTCCTACTGCGATGGAGACGGAAACTACACTTGCAACTATCAAATTGATGAGCCAAGATTTGGTTCATTTGGATAGGTTCAATGGAACCAACTTCACCTGGTGGCAAGACAAGCTCAAGTTCATTCTAAAGGCGTTAAAGATCTTTTGTGTGCTTGATCCAAGTTTGAAACCAATTGCTAAAGCAACCAATGAAGATTCTGAAGTATGAGCCGAGAGAAAGAAAAGACAAGAAGATGAACTAATTGTTGCAGATACATTCTTAATGCAATTTCCGATCGTCTATATGATCTCTACACCAACGCCACTTCTGCAAAGGAAATTTGGGAAGCGCTTGAAAATAAATAAAAAGTCGAGGAAGAAGGTATCAAGAAGTTTTTAATTTCTAAAATACTTTGATTTTAAAATGCTTGATAATATACCTCTTTTGCCTTAAGTACATGAACTTCAAGTAATAGTCACTAAATTGAAGGCGATGAAGACCGAACATCCCAAATCATTTCAAGTAGGAGCAATTATTGCTAAATTGTCTCTGACTCGGAGAGGTTATAAGAAGAATATTCTTCATAACTCCGAAAAATTTTCTTCGGAAGATATATAAAAACATTTTCCCATAGAGGAAGAATCAAGGGAACGAGATAAGACGAAAGTTCTTATGATGGCTAATCGAAAGCCCATGCCGTGGACAATGTTGATCACTCCAACAAATACAAAAGGAAGAGCCTCTTGGTCTTAAAAAAGATCAAGAGAAGTTCAAAAATAAGTCCAAAAAACCTTGCTATGTTTGTAGAAAATCGGGACACTATACAAGAGATTGTAGGTATGAAAAGCAAACAAAGAAGGATGAAAATGTGAACTCTATTGAAGAGATTATTGCTACGACGAGCGAAATAAATGCAATCCAAAGATAAGTTTTGGGTTGGTGGTATGATACCTACATAATAATTCATGTTTGTTATCATAAGTCACTTTTCAAAACTTATAATGACATCGTTGATGGACAAGAGATTCAAATAAGAAATGAAGGATGCTTTAAAGTGATTGGCAAAGGGACCATCGATATCATCTTCACTTAGGGAAATAAGAATACTTTGACTAATATTCTTTATATACTAGAAATGAATAGAAACTTAGCAAGTGGAGTTTTTTTTTGGAAAAACCATGAATAAAATCTGTATTGGAGTTGGAAAAACTTGTATTAACC